GATCCTAGCTAATAACAGTATCGCGGCCCCGAAAGGGCCTCGTATTGAGCACCACTTCTGAGGAGGGTTCCTCAACACCGCAGACGCCAAACTACAAAGCCTTAGAAAACCTCCCGAGCAGTGCTGGCTGGTGGGCGCACGCGCTGCCTTTCAGTCAATGGTGACCCACGTGAGGGCTGGGGCCAGCGCGGTCCTCCAGAGCGGGTCTTGGAGGAGGATGAGGGCGAGGATGCGAGACCGAGTCTGAGCTCTGGGCCCTGCCGCTTTGAAGAACCCACCTGCAGCCTGTTCAATTCAAGATTGCCCACTCCCTTGATCTCCGCTCAAAAAGTGGGCGCTTGTTGAAACCCCGTGCGAAACAATTTCAAAGTGTCGGCGCCAGCCTGGCGCAAGCTGCCTATCCTACGACGCCGTTTCTTAAATCTATTGAGTCTAGCTTGCAGTGTGGGCTGGGTCTTGGCCCCCCCAGGCCTTGCCAGCCCAGAAATCCATTCCTAAGTTTGCAGCCGCTGTGCACGCGGACCCCCCCCAACGCCCCGAACTTTTTAGCCACCGATTTAAGGGTAGAGAATCTGCTGGCAACCTTTGCGGCCTCGTGTAGCGTTATGCTACAATTCAGCTCCTCCTTTGTGAAATCTACCACCGTTTGAGTTCCGTCGCGAGGAGGAGGGGGAAGAGGAGGAGGAGGAGGAGGAGGAAGAGGAGGGGGAGGAGGAGGAGGAAGAGGAGGAAGAGGAGGAGGAAAGAGGAGGAAAGAGGAGAAGGAGGAAAATGAGGAGGACAAGGACGAGGACGAGGACGAGGAGGAGTAGTGAGGGAGACGCGGGGCGCTGTCTCTTCAAAACGAGGACCAACACCACATGATGGTTGGGTCCTCGTCAGTCGGCGAGTCAGCGGCGCGCAGGCAGCCTTCGGTGCCAGAATAATTGGGTGTCGAGCAAGTAGAAAACTGGCCAAAGGGACAGGCCGTTGAAGTAGAGATCGAGGGAAACACGCTGGCTGAAAGACATACATCTCGTCGGATGTCTGGGATGCCAGCCCTGTCCTGTGGCCCCCAGTCCCGCGAGGGCCCGCCGCCCCTGCGCCTCGTCAGCGAGCAGGGCTCCGGGCCGTGCTTCGTCGGCTCGCCGGGCTTCGCCAGCTCGCCAGGCTTCGAGGCCCGCCCGGCCAAGCGTCGGCTGTGGCGTTCGGTAACACATGTCGGGGGCCCCGTAATGCAGGGTCGTAGAAGGGAGGGTTATCCCAAGGTGGGGTTCGGGAGCGATGCTAGCTGGATGTTCACGTTTCCTTTTTCCAGGGGAAATTGGGAGCGGTTTCCCTCCCAACTCCACCTTTGCCACTACCCCACACCTTTGCGTCCCCCCGATTGTCTACCGTTCGCAGTTTCGTCTCCAGAGTGCACTAGCGTCGATTAGCGTCTGGTGATCGATGAGAAAGCGCCGTGTTAACGTCGATTAGCGTCGATTTAGCGTCGATGAGTGTCGATTTAGCGTCGATGAGCGTCGATAAGCGTCGACGAGATTCGATTAGCGTCGATTCGTCAGAGCCAGCAATATGGCATGGGAGATTCCCATGAGCTGCCACCGAAGGTAGCGGAGGGAGTGCGGCCATCGATGGCTCATGTTTGCTGGGTTTCGGAGGTTTTAGGGAGCTGGATTGAGGCCCACCAGTGGCGCCACGTCACGGGGCTTCGGGAACGCCAGAATCATCCCGAACGGCCACTTGAGGCCCGAGTTGTCGCTCGACAAACAGTTGGAGGAGGGGAGTCATGGGGTGGAATCGGCTCAGAGGTTCGAGGTTCGAGCTTCCAGGTCCGCCTGCTGGAGAGTTTTGCTCGTCCTGGGGCGCCCTCGCGTCAACGGCTGGATCCGCCTCGGAACTCTGGTCAGAGCGCACCCCGTGCGAGGTCCAGGGATCGAGCCCTGACCCCCGACCAGGGGCAACGTTCGGGGGGGCACCGGCCCACGGGGAGGGACATCGGCTCCCGATCGGCCCCTCCTCGCCGCGCCTGGAACGCTCGGCCCGCCCGGCCAATTCCCGGAAGCAAAGGCATAGGGGCACTGGCCAAGCTGGGTGCGCTCGCGCCATATCCGACATCCAATCCCTTCCCGTCCCTTCCCATGGCGCTGATCTGTTCTCTATCCGCGGACGCGTGCCACAGCCGACCAGGAACTCCAAGAAAGGACCTTACCGTGTTGTGCGTCATCGCAGGAGGAGGAGGAGCACGAGGAAAAGGAGGATTATGATGAAGGAAGAGGACGAGGGCGAACAGCAGCACCAGCAGCCAGAATTGGAGTGGAAGGAGTGGAAGGAGCAGGAGGACCAGGGGAATGTGGATGAGGGGAAGAGAGCGGCAGCGATGAAAAAGGATTCATATCCAGAGAAGTGGCCCGCGCTGCGGCGAGAGCGCCTTTCTGAACGACGGGGACACAGCGCCGGTCCGAAAAGGAGCCCCCTGCTGCAGTGCGAGCACCAGATTGAAACATCGAACACGATCGGACGGCAACACGCAAAGGAAACAATGGCTTTGCCATCCTGTGTGTGAGAGAGGGAGAAAGAACACTGCGCGGAGAGGGCCAGGCATCTTCCGCACAGAGCTCGAATTGTCCGAGGGAGGCGGCTGGCCCAGGGAGCGGCCCTTGAGAGGAGTCGGCAGCGCCGACGGCGTTTTTCTACGTCGGCTTCTCGGAAGTTTTCCAGCCTCGGGACACTCTCCGGCCGCTGTGCCTCGCCGTGAGCGTTCCCTGGGGATGCCCGAATCGCTCCGAAAGGCCGCGGGAGAGCCGAGGTGTGGCCCGAAAGTTGGGGAGCAACGACGGGGGGGGGGAGCGGCCCAGGGGGGGGATGCATCGGTCCCCAATCGCCCATGCATCGCCGACCGGGGCCCCGGTGCTCCAGAACGCGCGGCTTTGCGATGGAGGGCGTATCGCCGAACCTTTGGCGACGCATCGCCGATCCCAGGCCGATGTCCGCCCCCCTGAGCCAGTCCCCCCCCCGTCGTTCCCCGTCAAGGTGTCATCATTGTCAACCATTCCCACCCATCCCCCCCCACTGGGACAGGGTACGCGAGCCCCCCCCAGCGCCCCCCCCTCCCGGTCGGGATGCAGGTCGGGAGGGGCGCCGCGCAGCCCGAAGGAGACCGCACACGTCCCCACTCCTGGGGTCGGGGTGTACGCAGGTCGGCCAGGGAGACCAAGGCTTCCCCGGTGGGGTGGGGACTGCTGCTCGCGCAGGAAGCGTGCGGGGGTGGCCCCGCCCGTGGTCTCCTCGTCGCAGGAGTGGGAGGGCGGCGGACCCCGAAAGGGCCCAGAAGCGTCCTCAAGGACGGAGGCTCAGATCCGCGGCCCCTGCCCCATAACTGAGCAGAACAGGAGCAAGATCAGGATGGGGGGGGCGCAGGGCCAGAAAGAGGAGCAGGAGGACCAGGAGGGGAAGGCGGAGGAGGAGGAGGAGGAGGAGGAGGAGGAGGAGGAGGAGGAGGCGGAGGAGGCCAGGGGTGGAGGAGGAGGAGGAGGAGGGGGAGGAGGAGGAGGAGGAGGCCAGGAGGAAGCCAGGAGGAAGAGGAGGGAGGAGAAGAGGATGAGGAGGAGGAGGAGGAGGAGGAGGAGGAGGAGGCCATGGGAGGGGGAAGGAGGAGGCCAGGAGGAGGAGGAGGAGGAGGCAGGAGGAGGAGGAGGGGGAGGAGGGGAGAGGAGGAGGAGGAGGAGGAGGGGAGGAGGAGGCCAGGAGGAGGCCAGGAGGAGGCCAGGAGGAGGCCAGGAGGAGGCCAGGAGGAGGAGGAGGAGGAGGAGATGAGGAGGAGGGGAGGAGGAGATGCCATGAGGGGGAGGAGGAGGAGGAGGAGGAGGAGGAGGAGGGAGGAGGAGGAGGAGGAGGAGGGGAGGAGGAGGAGGAGGCCATGGGGGAGGAGAGGAGGAGGAGGAGTTGGAGGAGGAGGAGGAGGAGGAGGAGGAGGAGGAGGAGGAGGGAGGGAGGGAGGAGGAGGAGGACAGGCGTCCGCCGATGGATCCTTCGACCTGGGCGGCACCTTCAAGCTGATCTCGAACGCTGAGTCGCCTGGCGCTAGGGCTGGGCGACCCTCCTTCGTGCTCGACTTCTGACCTCGGGCGGCGCCTCGGGTGGCGCCTCGGGCCCGAGGCTCAGCTGCCGCCCGCGCCCGCATGCTGCGAGCGCCTCGTGATCGGCTCCTGGGCGCGGCGGCGCCGCTTGGGCCGCGAGGAGGACCGTTTGAGGCAGCCCCGCCAGCGGCCACCCGTGCGGGCGGTGAGGCCTTTGCGCCGGGCGCGTCCTGGAGCAGTCCGCTCGGAGGCGACGACGGGGGCCAATAGCCCGAGGGCGGGCATTCCACTCAGCCACGCGCAGAAGGGGCTACGGCAGAGGGGGCTGGGGGAAGGCTTCCTAGAAACACCCCTGCTTAGAAGGTGCGGGCCTCGTCTGTAGATGTAGGGCTCTGCCCACTGAGAAGCGGCCTCCTTCTAACAAGCCTTCCCCCCACGACCCCTCTGTGCTCGCCGCCAACCAGGGGCGGGCATTACACGCATCCGCCTGGGAGCCTCGCCGAAGGCTTGCTCTCCCCTGGGCTATTCGCCCCCATCGTCGCCCCCGATTTGCACGGTCGGGGCGCTGGGCCGCCCGAGCACGGACGAGAGCGCTTCGCGCTTCGCGGCCCGCGGGGACGGCTTCGGAGCCCTCTCGCGTCGAAGCCTCCTTGGACCTCTGGGACCGGTTCGCTGCTCCCGGCGGTCTCTTTGGCGGCTTGGGGGCCGCATCGTCACCACCCATCAAACCACCGCAACCCAACCCGAATGCAACTAAGTTGCCCTCCAATCCCAGTGGGGGGGGTGGGCGTCGGGGAACATTGACAACAACACATGTGGAACCCGTACCCTTCCAACCCGAAATTGGAGTCTTCGGGTTGGATTGGGTTGGGGTGGTCTGGTTGGTAGTAACATCGGGCCGCGCTAGGGCTCCCCGTCGGCTGCTCGGAGGTCCCCCGGGGACCCTCTTGGGGCGCGCCTCCCTGGGCCCTCTTATGCGAAGGGGCCCCTGCCAGAGGGCTGCCCTTCCCCAGGGCGCTCTGAGGCTCGCCAGGCTCGGACGCGCATTGGCGCGAGGGTGGTCACGCGCTGCGCCTCGAGCGGCGCCCAGCTCGAGGCGGAGCGGCCAGGGGGGGGGGGCGGTCTGAGGCTCGCCAGGCTCGGACGTTTTCGTCGGCCCTCGGTGGCTCTGCAGCCCGCCGAGGTGCTCTCCAGCAGCTGCGCCTCTCCGAGGGCGTTCCGGGTGTGCCCGCACCGTCCCGAGCGGCCGCGGGAGAGCCGAGGTATGACCCGAAAACCATTCGGATCAGTTGCAGGGGGGTTGAGGCAGCAGGTGCTCGGGCAGGCTCAGTCTGCGCCGAGTGGGTCCCCCCCCAGACCCCCTCACATTGTGCAAGAATCACGGCGGAAGATTTTGGCTTCTCTTCGGCCTCTGGGGGCCCTCGTTGGGCTGCAGGACCGTCCAAAACTACTCAGGATGAAAGGCTGGTCCTGGGGAAGGGGTCGAGGCCTTTGGGGGTCCACGTCGGGGATCGGGGTCTGGGGATCTGGAGCCCGTTTCTGTATTGCTTGGGGCATGACGGGCGTCATGGCCCCCGCTCCCCCCCTATGACATAACGCTCCCCCCACCCCCGTGCGCTCCGGGCACTGCCGCCGTGCGCGTTGGGATCCGCGTAGGTGTCCGCTTAGGAATGCGCGTAGGAGTTTGGTCCGCAGTCGTCGTCGTCGTCGTCGTCGTCGTCGTCGTCGTCGTCGTCGTCGTCGTCGTCGTCGTCGTCGTCGTCGTCGTCGTCGTCGTTATCGCCCGTGGCTCGTCGCTCATCGTCGTCGTGCGCGGACGCGGCTGGAGCCTAATTTTGATTCCGGGCCGATGGCAGTCACCGGGGGGGGGAGGGGGTCGATGACGTCACGTTTCGCGCCGGCGGCGTCTGGGAATGCCTAGGAATGACGGAGGACGGGTAGCACCAGCATGTAGGTGGCGATTTGCACCACAACGCTTGTGTGCACCACAGTGCCTGCGTGCACCATAGCGCTTGTGTACACCACACCGCCTATGTACACCACAGCAGCCGCGTGCAACACAGCGTCAGTTTGTGCCACCGCGCCTGCGGGCACAACAGCTGTTGTGTACACCACAACGCCTGCGTACACCACATCAGCCTCAGCCGTGTGCAACACACAGCACCAGTGTACACCACAATGCCTGCGTGCACTGCAGCGCCTGTGTACACCACGGCGCCTGTGTGCACAGCAGCATCTGGTGCAACACAGGACCATTGTTGTATTAATGTTAGAAGGAATCCTTATGACGAAATGGAGAGCTTGTGGATTCCACAGAAAACAGTGTGAATGATTTCTCATAGACAAAAGAGCGCCGCTGGAATCTACGAGTCGTCCCGAGTCCGCCCGCATCACCCTAACTCCTCCCGTCTGCGTCCAGGAGGTTCTGCGGTGCACGCTGAGATGCGCACGTGCGCTGTAGTGCCAACCCGCACGACAGGGGGGTTGAGGAGGAGGAACAGGAGGAGGAGGAGGAGGAGGAGGAGGAGGAAGAAACGGAAAAAAAGGAGGAGGAGGCGGAGGAGGACGAGGAGGACGAGGAGGAGGAGGAGGAGGAGGAGGTGGAGGTGGAAGGAAGAACGTCGCATTCGATCATCAGCACCTACCTGCACGCAGGTATTGTGGTGTACACTAGCGCTGCGTTGCACGCGGATGCTGTGGTGTAGACAGGCGCTGTGGCGTGCACAGGCGCTGCGGTGCACGCAAGCATTGGTGTACACAGGTGCTGTGTTGCACATCGTTGTTGCGGTGTACACATGTACACCAGCGCTGCAGTGTACGCAAGCACTGTGGTGTACACAGGCGCTGCGTTGAACATGCTTGTTTCGGTGTACGCAGGCGCTGTGGTGTACACGCGTGCTGTGGTGCACGCGGGCGTTGTGGTGCACACAGGCGCAATGGGGCATATCACCACCTACATGCTGCTCGCGTCGTCGTCGTCGTCGTCGTAGTCGTCGTCGTCGTCGTCGTCGTCGTCGTCGTCGTCGTCGTCGTCGTCGTCGTCGTCGTCGTCGTCGTCGTCGTCGTCGTCGTCGTGTTCGTCGCTCGTCGCTCGTCGCGTCGTGCGCGCGGGCGCGGGTGTGGTGCCGGAGGCACACGGCGGGAGGGGGCGTCACGTCATACTTCCCCCCCGGCCCCCCCCCCCCCCATGACGCCCGCCATCGCCCAAGAGAAAGAAACGCGCTCCTAGGTATCTGAGGGCGGTGGGCAGGTCGCCGCCGAAGACAGAGTTTGCGATCCCCCTCTCGTCGTCGTGTCCCCCCCCCCCTTTCGCAGCTGGGGCTGGGTAGGTGAGGGGAGGGATGGGGCACAGGAGGGTCGGGTGGGCTTGGGGTTGGGGGCGGTGGGGGGAGGACCCACGGAGCGCTCCAGAGGGGGAGGACCCCCAGAACGCTCCACGGAACGCTCCCTGATTACCTTACCTTATCCTTGCACGCCGAGCGCCAGCAGCGCAGGGACCCAGAGCAGAATGGGGGCGCGTAAGGCGTTGCGTGGGGGCCCTCGCTGTGTCGCCGCAGGGCGGAACCAGTGCACAAACACAGGGGTTGTCGCTTGGGGCTGCAACTGGAGCCGCGTGCAGCTGCGGCCCCAGTGAGCTTGAACAGGGAAAGTGTTGGAGAAGTTGCGTGGGGGCCCTCACCGTTGCTCCGCAGGCGGCGGAACCAATGAACAAACAAACCACGCACAAGGGCCCGACAGGCACCAACCGCCGCACACAGCGCGGTGGCGGGCTTTCCACGTTTTTTCGGGCGCATGTCTGTGCGGCCGTTCCCCAGACACGCCCGAGGCCCTGGCGTTCCAGTGCGCGCCAGCGTTTCGTCAATGCTGCTCTTGTCAATCCGGCGAGCTAGTCCTCCTCTCCTCCCCCTCCTCCTCCTCCTCCTCCTCCTCCTCCTCTTCCTCCTCCTCGTCGTCGTCGTCCTCCTCCTCCTCCTCCTCCTCCTCCTCCTCCTCCTCCTCCTCCTCCTCCTCCTCCTCCTCCTCCTCCTCCTCCCCCTCGTCCTCGTCCTCGTCCTCGTCCCTTCTCCGTCCTCCTCTCTTCTCCTTCTCCTCTCTCCTCCTCCGCCTCCTCCTCCTCTTCCTCCTTCTCCTTCTCCTTCTACCTCCGACCCCCTCCGCTGCTCCTCCTCCTCCTCCTCTCCTCCTCTCCTCCTCCTCCTCCTCCTCTCCTCCTCCTCCCTCCTCCTCCTCCTCCTCCTTCCCTCCCTCTTCCTGCTTCTTCCTCTCTCCTCCGTCCTCCTCTCTCCTCCGTCTCCTCCTCCTCCTCCCTCTCCCTCCCTCTCCTCCTCCTCCTCCTCCTCCTCCTCCTCCTCCTCCTCCTCTCCTCCTCCTCCTCCCCCTCCCCCTCGTCTCGTCCTCGTCCTCGTCCTCGTCCTCGTCCTCGTCCTCGTCCTCGTCCCTCCTCCGTCCTCCTCTCCTCCTCTCTTCTCCTTCTCCTCTCCTCCTCCGCCTCTTCCTCCTCCTCTTCCTCCTTCTCCTTCTCCTCCTATCCCTCCGCCGTCTCCTCCTCCTGTCTCCTAATCATTCCCCTCCTGTTCCTGCTCTCTCCTCTCTCCTCCATTCTCCTCTCTCCTCCTCCTCCTCTCCTCCGTCCTCCTCGCGCCTCCGTCCTCCTGTCCTTCTCCGCCTCCTGGCTCGTCGCATGAGGAATTTGCTCAATGTCTGCCATCTTACGGCTTGGCTCCCGCACGCCCTGGTGGCCAGCATCCTGAAGTCTAATTACAGTGGCCCCGAAAGCCGTCATTCCATCGAGCCTTGTTCCTTCGACACCCCGCCGAAGCTCGCCTGAGCACTACCCGATGGAATAGTCGAGTCTGTACTCTAGGTCATCCGCAGATGTATCGGGCCGCATTCCTTGGACACCCCGTCGAAACTCACCTCAGCATCATCAGTTGGAGGAGTCGAGTCTTTGCTCTAGCTCATTTGCAGATGCGCGACGATAGCCAGGGCATTCCATCGGGCCTCATTCCTTCGACACCACGCCGAAGCTCACCTCAGTATCATCCGATGTAGAGATCGAGTCCGCACTCTAGCTTACCCGCAGGTGCGCGACGATAGCCAGGCCTCGCTCTTTGCCGCTCGGGTGGGAGAGCTGTTCTTCTCCAGGGGGGCAGTGCGAGAGCGCGAAGGTGACCATGCTTCGTGCCCCGCGCGGTGCGACGCGCGAGGCTGAGCGACCTAGCGTCGGAGTGCACCAATTAACTATACACCCAATTCTTGACGCTTCGCGCATGCCCTCCAGCCGTTCACTTGGCTGCGGCCACCCTGGTACTTTCGCAGTAGTCCGGGGGCTTGCGCCCTTGCAACTAATTCCCGTCTGCAGCTATCCTTGGTTGCCGGTTACCCTGGCCGCCCGCTGCTTCCGACACGTTGCATGTGACCCTGGCTTACTGGTATCCAGCCTACCGCCAGCCTTTTCCACTCGACAGCCCGCCGCTGAGGTGCTGCGTGAGGCTCCTGCCCACCGCTTTAGGTTAATTCGTCTGTGCGCGCCCCGCTCTGACTTGACTCGCCGATGGCGCGCTCGCCTGCGGCCGCTGATTAAAAAGTATGCCCACCAGCCCATCCAGGAAAGACCCCCAGGCGAATTCATTGATCAGAGAAGTCCGGGGGCATGCGGTGGAACAAGGAGGAGGGGGTTAGCCGTCGAACCAACGATCGGGATCACCCTGGGCAGGCCCAGGAGTCAACCCTAAATGCCCTCGCAGATTTTTCGATATGGGGTCCTCTTGACAGCTTACTTGGGCCATCTTGGGGCCTCCCAGAGCGATAATGCAACATTCATTTGTTTTCCACAAATTTGGGAAGGCTGGCCTCTCGGGGGCGCGCCTGAGAAGCAACGTGGCCATTTGGAGCCGTCTTGAGGCGGTCTTGGGGCTTCTGGAAGGTATGTTGGAAATTGTCGTGGGCCATCTTGTTGGCAATCTCGGGCTATCTGGAGTCCTCTTGGAGCCATCTTGGACCACGAAGGGCCCTCTGAAACCTCGCGGCGCCCCTGGTCGTGACCCAACGGGGGTGGGTGGGGAAAGGGGTCAGGCTACCCACCCCTCAAGGACTGCTGTCTCGCTCACTTCCACCCACCCTCCCAAAATTTGTTTGTCGTCGCAGCGCGGCAGAGGCAGTCCGCACGCGCGTCCGGGCAAGCCGGGTAACGGCATCGCGAATTGACTGGCATCGCGAATGGGAAAAAGAGGGGAGGAAATGGCCGCGGGCGGGGGGGAGGAGGAAGAGCGCTCACCGGGCGGGCAGCGGCCCGGGCCGTCAGCGGCCCGGGCGGTCAGCTGGTGCTGCGCCCCTGGCAACGGGCGTTGGGCGCCGTCACGGCCACACCAAAGGGCTGGGGCAGCGGCTGCAGTGCGCGAAAACGAAGTACAACAGAGAAATGTGTGCCCAGGAAACGATGTCCCGGTGCAGCGGAGCAGATAGCGGCGTCCCAGGCGGCAAAGTTCTGCGGGACAGGTGCTGGGCGGGTTGCAGAGCGTGGGCAGTGCGCCACGCCGGCGAGACCGGGAAGGCGGCGGCGGGGCCAGTGAGAGAGGGCGGCGGCAGAGCGACCACGAGGACCCGGGTAGCCCTCCAGTGAACCGCTGGCAAAGCAGAATGGACCACGGCCGAAGTTGGCGAGGGGACTGCAGGGAAACGGAGAGGGCAGCAAAACTCGAGACCCAGCCAGCGCACGCATCACAGCTGAGGGCGAGTTGTGCCCCGCCCCAGAGGTGGCAGGGCGACGGCCCCCCGCGGCAGAAACGGCGGGGAGGCAAAAAAGGGGTCCAGCGCGGGCGCCGGCGCCCAAAGCGGGCTGGCGGGCCAGCTGGCACAGGGTCAATTGCTGACGGGTGGCGCCCGGGGCCCGGGTGGGCGGCGAGGGCGCAGCGCGAAGACCACCCAACAGCAGGCGGCAGTCGTTTCCCAGCAACAAGAGGGGAGGCAGCCGAGTCCAGGTACAGAGGGGGTACCAGCGTCGGCCGAAGGCCAGTCAGCAGGCCAGGGCGCCACCCAACCAGGGGCAGCCCACGCGGAGCGCGGGCGCGCACGTAGGGCGCTGGGGGCGTGATTGGCGGGAAGCAGGACATCGCGCCCATGCAGGCTTCGCGAGCGCCATTTCGGGTCCGCAAGCAACTGGCAGGGGCAGTGCCGGGGAGGCGGCCGTCGCGGTAGGGGCCATCGCCAGCCGAGTCGTGGCAGCAGGCGCCCGAGACGGGCAGACAGCAGGACGCCTCTCTGCACGCGCCGCTGGCCGGCTGGCGCGGGGGCATTGCTGACGGGCGCCAGGCGCCAGGGGCCCATGCGGGCGGCGCGTGCGCCGCACCAAGGCCGCAAGCTGCGGGCGGGGCCAGAGACATCATGGCGGACCTGGACTTGGGGCCAGACGCGCAACCGCCACGTTGGGTCAATGGCCCCCCGGCTCCCGCTCGGCCCATTATACCATGGTGTTCAGCGGCTGCGAGCCTTCGGAGGAAGGCCGCGTGTTGGACAGCTGACCGTCTCCCAGGGTCGAGGGTGACGCGACGCCTGCCCGTGTCCTGCGTCGCGCAGGAAGCGTGCCAACCGCTGACAAACGCAGAGCAGGCTCGCAGTCGAGCTGCTTGACGCAGTCTCTGGGCGTCTCGTCAAGGGGTTCCCGCTGGATCATCCCGCAGGGGCGCTCGCGCAGCCCGTCTGCGCCCGCTCCCGCAGTAATTTTGCGACGTCCCGGCCCATCGCCGCGCGCCCCCAGGTTATCGCGGCCGTGGCCTGCCCCGCCCTTCGCGCGGCAGCGGCGATCAGCTCCGGCGACGAGGCGGGGACGTTGGTCGACGCCAGGGGAGGGGCGGGGCTTCTGCGAGACTCGTCGGCTGGCTGCGGCCCCCAGGGTTGTCGGCGGCGATGTTGGCCGCAGCCTCGACCGAGGCGCTGGTTGGGACGTCGAGCGGGGCGTCGGCCCGTGCGCGGGGGGCCTCGCGCCCTTTCGCCCCGCGCGCCCGCGGCGTCGTCGGCGCCGCGGCGGCCCTCGTCGCCCGAGCCAGGGCGCCAGGCAGAGTCGGCTCGGGCCGGGTCGTCGGCCGCCGTCGCGACCCAGCGACAGCGGAGCATCGGCCGCCATCCACTAGGAGGTGAGATTGGGTTCACTGCAGCGGCGCGCTGCAACGGTTTCAGGGGGGATGTTTCGGTAGCTGGGCGGACCCTTTCGCCCGCGCCCATCCCCTCGCGCCCGCCGCGCCTCCCCGCCGGCCCGGGCCGGCGCGCCCGCGCGGCCCAGCCGACGCCCCCTTCTCCCAGCCGCGGCCTCCGCGACCAGGGGTGCATCGGCGGGGCCGTCATTCTGGGCCCTCGCAGGGAACGGGGGGTCGGCCTCAGCGATGCGCACATCTCCCCGCGCCTGTCGTCGGGTCTGCTATTCCTGAGACTGCCCCTCACATGGGCCACCTTTCAGGCGCGTGAGCGCGGCCGCTGGTCGCTCCGCCCAGGGTCAGACCGTCGCGACCAATCGTCGCGCCAGCAGGTGGGTCGGGGGGGCAAGCGCAGCAGCGCCCGCAGAGCGACCTGGGATAGTGGCTCCGCAGTCTGGCAAGGCCGCGTGCCCGGGCGCAACGTTCATGGCACCTTTGGCGCGCGAGCGCGGCCGTCTTTCGCTCCGTCCAGGGCCAGACCTTCGCGACTCATTGTTGCGCTTGCAGGCGGATGGGGGAAGCGCAGCCGCGCCCGCGGAGCGACCGGGGAGAGTCGTTCCGCGGTCTGGCGACGCCGCGCGCTAGAGCGCGACGTCCAGTGTGATCCGAGCCGCCCCCCGTTGGACCAGGCCCGGGGCGCGGGGGGCGGGCCCCCCCGCGCGTCCGCGGCACCCCTGGCCGCGGGCGGCGCCGAGATGCGCGGCCCCCAGGTCGCCTCCGGGTGCGTAGTGGCCCCCACCCCGGGTGAAGCGCCGCGTTGCTTTCGCTCCGGGTCGGCGGCGACGGGCCCAGGTTCGGCCCGCAACCAGTCTCTTCGCCAGCAGCTGCGCCGAGAGCGTCGGTCGGAGCACTCGCGCAAACGGGGGGCGGCGACTCGGCCAGCGCGGCGTCCGTGCCACGATCCCTCCGCGGGCCAGCGTTCTCAGGTTCCGAAGAGATGCCGACGGCGCGCAGGTCGGACTCGCGACTGATCGTCGCACGAGCAGGTGCATCAATGCCCGGCCGTGGCGCTGGCGCCGCGGAGCGACTTGGGGCGGGCGCTCCGAGGGCGAGCGCCGCAGTCGACGCGCGAGGGCCAAGACTCGGAGGCCCAGAGCTCACGTCTCTCGTTCTTTCCAGGTTCAGACCAGGCGCGCGATTAATCGCCGCGCAAGCAGGTGGATGAGCGGCCCCCAGCGCCGCGCGCCCTTCCGAATGATTGGGGCGCCATTCCGGGCCTGGGCGGCCGCGGCGCAGGCCCGGGCCTGAGATAATGGGGGCCCTGGTGGGGCCAGGCTCGCGGCGGCCAGGTCGGGGTCGCGACTGATCGCCGCGCGTGCAGGTGTATGGTTAGCCGTCGGTGCCGCCAGCTCACCAGAAAGACTTCGGGGTGCCATTCTGGGCCCCGACGGCGCCGGCGGCGGCTCGGGGCAGGCGGCGGGCGGCCTTCGCTGGAGGAGGCCGCCCCGCTGCTCCCGCGCACCCCCCGCCCCCGGCGCGCCACCTCCAGCCGCGGGCGGCGCGGCCCTTTCCCCCTGGAGGGGGCGGCAAGAAGGAGGGGGGGGCTGAGTGGTGCAACTGTCGCCGCTTGCCCCGCTTTGGCCCCTGGCGCCGCCGTCGCCGCGGGACTCCAGCGGCGCGCGGGGCGACTCGGGCGCTCCCGGGCAGCGTTCGGCGAGGCGGGCTGGTGCGAGGGCCTCCTTGCGCTGCTCGCGGTCGTGCTGCTGGGGCCCGTCGCGTTGCTGAAGTTTGTGCTGCTGCTCGCGATCGCGCCGCTGTAGTCCGCAATGCTGCTCGCGATGCTGGGGCCCGCATGCTGCTCGCGGTCTCGCTGCGGGGATCCGTCGCGCAGCTCGCGGGCGCGCTGCTGGGGCCCGTCTCGCTGCGCGCGAAGATGCCGTTGGAGTCTGTCCTGCTGCTGGCGGACGTGCTGCTTGAGTCCGTCCTGCTGCTCGCGGTCGCGTTGCCGGCGAACGTTGCGCTGCTCCCAGTGTTTTTGCTAGAGACCGTCGCGTTGCTCGCGGGCGCGCCGATGGAATCCGTCGCGCTGCTCGTGGACACTCGGCCAGTGCCCGTCGCGCTGCGAGCAGATGCCGTGACCAGGGGCGGCCCGGCCAGCATCGTCTGAAGCATCCTCCGAACTCTCAGTCGCGGCCCTGCCTGCGCCAGAGGCCGCCGCCGCAACGCCTGGCGGGGCCGCCGGCCACGCGCCGCGGGCCGCCGCGGCCGTCAGCGCGCCCGCGCGTGCCGCCCCGGCCGCCGCGGCCACGGAGGCGGCGGCCGCGGCGGCAGCAGGGGCCGCGGCGGAGCCGGCAGCAGCGGCGGAGCCCCCCGCGGCGGCCGCGCGCAGGGGGCCGCTGCAGCTGCGGCGCGGGCCGAGGCGCGGGCGCCGGCGACGCGAGGCACCGCGGCGCCAAGCGCGGCAGCGCAGGGCGCGCCAGCGGCGCCGTCGGCGCGCGCGGCACCCGCGGCGCCCGCAGCCGCCGCGGCGCCCACGGCACCGGCGGCACCAGCGGCGCAAGCGGCGCCCGCAGCCCCAGCGGCGGATGGCCCACCAGCGGCGCCCGCGGCGCGCTCAGCGCAAGCAGCGCCCGCGGCGCGCGCGGCGGCCCCAGCGCTGCCCCAACATCGCGGGCGGCGGCAGTTTGGGGCTGCCACCGCCGCCGCGCCGCGGGGGGCGCCATTGCGAGGACGGCCCAAGCAGGGGCGCACCTTGACCAAGGGGCTCGAGCCGAGACAGCTGGAGCCACAGGGGCTACGGGCCCCGCCCTCCC